TTTTTTTCTAAAAGATGGCAACACTTTTGTTTCTAATTGCGCCATGCCATCAAAACACGGGGATTCCCTTTCTAACTAAAAATCAACGCAATTTTAATACAGTTTTATTTTCACTTTGTTTTGCTAATTTTAGAGTTCAGTTTCAATTACGTAGTGTGTTGTAATGTATGTACTTTGTTCAATTTTCTTTTTAAAAAGTAGTATTTTCGTAACCCTGGAACCTATCTTCGATCTTTACATGGTTTGCTATAGAAAATCTTAATTCACTTTGCGTCGTTTCAATTTGCGTCGTGTTTTTTTGGAACGTAACCACGACGCAAAGTGAGGTATTGGTGTATTTGTTTATGAAGACCCTTCTCATACATAATCATAGCAATTATTTAAAATGTTCGTATGTTAACAAAAATCAGAAAACCGACTGACTGGTATCTAGGGATGCTCCAGAGCCAACTGGCGAAGAGGGCGAAGACGCGGACGTGGAACTGCCGAAGGTCTACGAACCAGTTTACGAGGACCAAGTCCTGCGAGACAGGCTGGAAATGTTCTTGTCACAGTTCAACGAGATGCAAAGAGGCTGCGGCATGGACTTAGTCTTCTTCCCCGACGCCATGTTGCACCTGGTGAAGATATCCAGGGTCATTAGACACCCGAAGGGCAACGTGATGTTAGTAGGCGTGGGCGGATCCGGCAAGCAGAGTCTAACAAAACTGTCGTCCTTCATCGCCGGATACAAAACGTTCCAAATCACTCTGACTCGATCTTACAACGTGGCAAACTTCTTAGAAGACTTGAGGTACCTCTACCGTACGTGCGGAGCTCAAGGAAAAGGTACCACGTTCATATTCACCGACCTGGACATCAAAGAGGAGGGCTTCCTCGAATACTTGAACAACATTTTAAGTTCCGGCGTCATCAGTAACCTCTTCACCCGCGACGAGCAGCAAGAGATAATTTCGGAATTGACGCCAATCTTGAGACGTGAGAATCCAAAACGATCCATCAACAACGAATTGGTGACAGACTTCTTTCTTCAGAGAACCTGCCAAAATCTACACGTCGTTTTCTGCTTCTCTCCAGTCGGTGAGAAATTCCGTAACCGCGCTCAGCGTTTCCCCGCGCTGATATCCGGTTGTACGATCGACTGGTTCCAGCCGTGGCCAAAAGACGCTTTGATCCTAGTAGCTAAACACTTCCTACACGATTTCAACATCGCCTGTTCCAGCGAGGTAAAATCCGAACTGGTGAACGCGCTGGGTTCCATACAAGACATCGTGTCGATCACGTCCTCAGAATACTTCCAAAGGTTCCGTCGAGCCACCCACGTGACGCCGAAGTCATACTTGAACTTCATCGGTGGTTACAAGAACATTTACCGAAGCAAACAGCACGAGCTCGGGGAGGGAGCCAAAAGGATGGACACCGGTTTGGCAAAATTAGAAGAGGCCTCAGTGTCAGTCGAGATTTTAAAACGAGACCTGGCCATGATGGAGAAGGACCTGGTCCAAGCTTCAGAGAAAGCCGAGACTGTCCTGTTAGAAGTAACAGAGAGCGCGATGCAGGCCGAGGCTTTCAAAAATCAAGTGCAGAAAGTGAAGGAAAAAGCTGAACAGCTCGTAGCTTGCATAGCCGAGGAGAAAGCGTTGGCTGAACAGAAACTAGAAGCCGCGAAGCCGGCGTTGGAAGAAGCGGAAGCTGCGTTGAACACGATTAAACCGGCCCACATAGCGACGGTCAGGAAATTAGGCAGGCCTCCTCATCTGATCATGAGAATCATGGACTGCGTGTTGATTCTGTTTCAACGTAAGATCGGTTCGGTTGTACCAGACACAGCCGCACCGTGTCCTAAGCCTTCTTGGGCCGAATCGTTGAAACTAATGGCCAGCACCACGTTTCTCCTTCAATTGCAAAATTACCCAAAGGACATAATAAACAACGAGATGGTAGAACTGCTCCAGCCTTATTTTAAGATGGAAGATTACAATATGGAAACGGCCAGGCGAGTCTGTGGCGACGTGGCTGGCTTGTTGTCCTGGACTAAAGCCATGGCTTTCTTCCATTCAGTGAACAAGGAGGTTCTACCGTTGAAGGCGAATTTGGCATTGCAGGAAGCGAGGTTAAAGGTAGCGATGGAGGATCTGGCTAACGCTGAGAGAGAACTATCCGAGAGGGAAATGGCACTGCAGGCTGTAAAGGAACAGTATGACTCGGCGGTGTCTGAGAAACAAAGATTGACCGAGGCAGCGAACGTGTGTCTGAGGAAAATGACTGCTGCGACGGCGTTGATCAACGGATTAGGAGGCGAGAAGATTCGTTGGACCGAGCAGAGCAGTGAATTCAAGATTCAACTAGGCAGACTAGTAGGAGACGTTCTACTAGCCACGGGCTTCTTATCATACTGCGGGCCGTACAATCAACAGTACAGAAACAGTTTAGTCTCTTCTTGGATGAATATTCTAGCGACCAAGTCTATCCCCTTCACCAAGGATTTGAACATCACGAACATGCTCGTGGACAGCGCGACGACGTCCGAATGGACCCTTCAGGGTTTGCCAAACGATGAATTATCAGTACAGAATGCGCTCATTGTAACGAAGTCCTCGTCCTATCCTTTGCTAGTAGATCCTCAGAATCAGGGGAAGATGTGGATCAAGAATAAAGAGTGTATGAACGAGTTACAAATCACGTCTCTGAATCATAAATATTTCCGGACGCACCTCGAGGACAGTCTGTCTTTAGGCAGGCCGTTGCTCATCGAAGACATAGCCGAAGAATTGGACCCGGTGCTGGACAACGTGCTCGAAAAGAATTTTATCAAATCTGGTTCCATAGAGAAGGTGATCGTAGGGGACAAGGAATGCGACGTGATGCCAGGTTTCATGCTGTACATCACGACGAAGCTACCGAATCCTGCGTACAGCCCAGAGATCTCTGCGAAAACGTCGATAATCGATTTCACCGTGACGATGTTAGGGCTTGAAGATCAACTGCTGGGTAGAGTGATTTTGATGGAGAAGGCAGATCTAGAGGCTGAGAGAGTGGCTCTATTCGAATCGGTGATGACTAATCAGAGGACGATGAAGGAACTCGAGGGCACGTTGCTGCACAGGCTGACGTCTTTCGAAGGGTCTTTGGTCGACGACGAGGCTCTCATAAACGTCCTCAGGGAGACCAAAGTGACTGCGGAGTCTGTGAACGAGAAGCTGAAGGTGTCTGCGTTGACTGAGAAGAAGATAACGTTGGCTCGAGAGGAGTTCCGGGCTGTTGCGTCCAGAGGGTCCATTTTATACTTTCTCATAGTGGAGATGAGCAACGTGAATGTGATGTATCAAAATTCTTTGAGACAGTTCTTGACCATATTCGATAACTCCATCACGAAATCTACTAAGAGTCCGATTACCAATGAACGGATAAATATAATCCTCCGTCATCTGACTTATGAGGTTTGGGCGTTTACTCTGAGGAGTCTATATGAACGGCACAAGTCGTTGTTCACTTTGATGTTAGCAATGAAGATTGATTGTCACCGGGGTGCGATTTCCCACGCTGAGTTCAATGCTTTTATAAAAGGTGGTGCGTCTTTGGATTTGAACGCAGTTGCCCCGAAACCCTTCAGGTGGATTCTTGATATAACGTGGCTGAATCTCGTCGAAATTAGTAAACTCGAGATGTTCTCGAATATTTTAACGGAGATCGAGTTTAGTGAAAGGGAATGGCGCGTCTGGTACGAGAAAGAGAAACCTGAGGAGGAGGAGCTACCTTGTGGGTATCAGAAGAGGTTGGACGTTTTTAAGAAATTACTTCTGATCAGATCCTGGAGTCCGGATAGGACTTTGTCTCAGGCGAAGAACTATGTGATCGAATCGCTGGGAAAAGAGTATGGAGAGACGAAGATTTTGGACCTGGAGGCCACTTGGTCAGAGTCTGAAGTCAGAACGCCGTTAATATGTATTCTGTCCATCGGATCTGATCCCAGTCCGCAGATAACAGCCTTGGCCAAGCAAAAGTCCATTCGTAAGAAGATATTACAATTATTATTACGGTGAACCAGAAGTTCGTGCGTTTTTTTTCATTCAATTTGTATAAAGACACTTCATACACAAGTGTTATCAGATTTTGAAAAGTCATTTAAGTCATAAGGCTATACAGGGTGTCCCAAAACTAGTGTAAGATATTAAAATAGGAGGTTCCTGAAGTAATTTTAAACAATATTTTCTTTAGCGAAAGAGTTATTAACAAAAAACCCTGACCAATCAGAGCGCTCAGTTGTGAGCTCCGAATCAGGAGCGTTGGCTCGGATCCGAACGCCCGGCCTATCAACAATCTATTATTTCCCCATCCATTCCATTTGAATAACAATTAAATGTATTAATTGTTATTAATTTCCTTGCATTGTTATTCGTGTAGTTTATTATTCGTCATTTTCTTAAAACGCTTCGTATTGAGCGGAGCGGTTGTTCACGCGTCAAAGGCCGGGCGTCCAAATCCGAGCCAACGCTGCCGATTCGGAGCTCGCGCCAACCGAGCGCTCTGATTGGTCGGTGTTTTTTGATAATAAATCCTCAACCACGCCTCGGATAACTTTTTCGCTAAGGAAAATGTTGTTTAAAATGACGTCAGGAACCTCCCATTTCAATATCTTACACTAGTTTTAGGACACCCTGGGACATTCAAATGCAAATCGATAAAATCTTACAAAATTGTTTTAACATATTGACCTGGTGATGCGTTTTAGAATTGCGATCAGTGTCCATGGGACAGGGTCAGGAGTTCCATGCCCGACGTTTGATCTCCGACGCGATGAACAACGGTAGTTGGGTGTTACTGCAAAACATTCATCTATCGCTTCCCTTCTGCACAGAAGTGATGGACGCCCTCGTCGAAACGGAAACCGTCCACGAAGCGTTCAGACTTTGGATGACCACAGAAGTGCACTCGCAATTCCCTATCGGATTACTGCAGGTTCTTCTTTTAACTTAACTTAAATCAGACTCTTTTTCTTTGACTTCTGACTGATCTCACTGAACATGAATGACGATAACCGCGTCTGTCTCAGATGGCCATTAAATTCACGAACGAACCGCCGCAAGGTATCCGAGCCAGTTTGAAAAGGACTTATCAAGGAGTAACGCAGGACATGTTGGATTACAGCACGCAGTCACAGTGGCCACCCCTTTTATACGCTGTCGCGTTTCTACACACGGTCGTTCAGGAACGAAGAAAATTCGGTCCCCTCGGCTGGAACATTCCGTATGAATTCAACCAGGCTGACTTCGCTGCCTCAGTTCAATTCGTACAAAACCATTTAGACGACATGGACCCTAAAAGGGGAGTCTCGTGGCCTACCGTTTGTTACATACTTGGAGAGGTGATCTAAGAAACAATTGTAAATTCCAAATACATTATTTTAAAAAATTATGGCATCAGAAAACACGTCTTTAGAGTTTAGAATTATCTATCATAAGGGGTGTGACAAGAATCTCTGGTTTTAATTTAATCTGATTTCAGGTTTTAATTTAAACGAGAAATCATTGTCTTGTAATAATTTGGATTCTAGGTGCAATATGGCGGTAGAGTGACCGATGATTTCGATAAACGATTACTGACCACGTTTACCCATGTTTGGTTTTGCGATGTATTGCTACGACCCGGATTCGAGTTTTACCGTGGGTACAAAGTGCCACAGTCGAAAAATCTTCAAGGCTATTTGGATTACATCGATGGCCTGCCTGCGATGGACACGCCGGAAGTGTTTGGCCTCCATCCGAACGCCGATATCACTTATCAGATAAACACGGCAAAAGGGATACTAGACACGATTTTAAGCGTCCAACCGAAAGAGGGAGGCGCGCAAGGGGGTGAAACCAGAGAGAATGTCGTGTACAGACTCGCGGACGATATGCTGGCCAAATTGCCGAAGCAGTACAATTCCTTCGAGGTGAAAGAGGCCCTCCAACGCATGGGAGCACTCCTGCCGATGAACATATTTCTCAGACAAGAGATCGACAGGTATTATTAAGATAAAGCAAAAGTTCGTGCGTTCTTGTTGTCTAATGGCCTATTCCCACTGCGTTTTTCGCTCCAAAATTCCGCTCAGTCCCGGCGAGCGAAATTGGGGTACCAGAGAGCAGAAATACCAGTATTTCTTGACCTTTTTTCAAGAGTTTGTCACCGTTTTTTCTTGGCTATTTTCGAAACCAAAGTTTTCTTCTAATTTCAGTATTTAACGAGTTAAGTGCAGTTAATTGGCATTTTATTGGCATTGACGAAATCCGACCATCCCACCGTCGAAACAGCGAACTTTTGACAAAAAATTTCGTTTTTTGCCAATAACTCCCAAACCGTTGGACTTACGGAAAAATTGTATAGGACCTTTCTTGTCACTCATGAAAGGGGACGACGAGATCTACAATTTTTGTATAAAAGTTTATCGTTAGCGTCAATAGTTTACAAGTTATTGACGAAAAACGAAAAAACAGTTTTTTGCGAATTACTCGTTAATTATTGATGCTAGCAAGAAACTTTTATACTGAAATTGTAGATCTCGTCGTCCTCTACAAGGAAGGTCGTATGCAATTTTCCAGTAGCTCCAATAGTTTGGGAG